CTAATAGGATGAAAATTGGGTGAAGACTTTAAGTTAGAGGTCTATTTTCGAGAATAGGTGTTTAATAAGGGGCATTGCACTAATCATTGCAAAAAAAAAAAAGATCCCAATGAGGACAACTTTAATAATCTCATTGTGAATCGTCTCTTCGTAGCCTTTATGACTCGAGTAATTAAGCATGTAAGGGTTTAAAACCTGGTGCCCTAAAGTCGTCTGATTTGGGAGTCATCGGCCTAAAGCTCGTTACAAGGGTCATTTAGAAAGCTTGAGGAAGTGACGTCTACACAAAGGGTGTTTAAAGAATACATTTATATAAAAAAAAAAATAAGAAAAAAAAAAGAGAGAGAGAAAAAAATAGATATCAAATGCTTTGATTAAGCCCCGAACACCTGTTTTAGAGGATTAGACCTTTGATAAGAGGTTAGTAATTCGGTTGATTCCTAGAGGTTGAAGCAGTCAAAAATAAGGGGAATCCTCATTTGTTGACATGTGGAACTACAATCAGTAAAATCTAACCAAACTTGAGTGGCGTAAGAAATTAGTATTGAAAATTTAACCTTAGGTTACGCCCTTGGACGGAGAAAAGAAAATAAGTTTGGGGGTGTATGAATCCCACGAGCGACGTAAGGAAAAATTTGACTTCTAAGGTCGGGAATTGGGTCAACTTATTATTGTACAGCGTTATGCTTAACTCTCCACACACACACCCGTTTGCATTGAATGAGCAAGGATTTGACGCTTGCATTATAGTTTTGAAGTACTTCATGAATTTGACGATGTGTTCTTAATCTTGAGCAATAAAAGCAAAGGTGTCTAACATAAAGTTCTTTTGAGTGACTTTATCTTTCTTAGTCGTGTTTTTTGTGCTCGTTAATAATTATCTTTAGTTTTGTGTTTGCTCGAGGACAAGCAAAGAATTAAGTTTGGGGGTGTTTGATGAGTGTAATCCACTCATTAAACTAAAGCTTCTAAATCGAGTTTTTTGATGTGTTCTTGAGCATTTTTGAACGTTTTGATGTGTGTGTTAGTGTTGTTTTGCAGTTTGGACAATTCTCAAGAAAATATCACTATTGGGAGCCGGTGATGAGCAAAAATGATGATCAATGAAATGGAGCATGAATAAGCAAGTATTGAATAAGATTGGAGTGGGAAATAGGCTTGGAAAAACAAAGAGAAGAAAAAAGTAAGCAGAAGCCTGGGCGCCACGGCGCCAAACTCGGGCGCCATGGCGCCCAAGGAAGGAAAAAAAAAAAGAGAAAAGAGGCAGAACAACGGGCGCCATGGCGCCCATGAAGAAAAAAGGAGCAGAGACCTGGGCGCCACGGCGCCAGACCCGGGCGCCATGGCGCCCGTTTCCAAAAAAAGTAAAATCCGGTTTT